GATACAAAGGAGGTTGTATTGATGTTAAATTTGATCACAGCCGCTAGGCTGTTAGTAGGACAATATTGGAAGAAGGAATCCTTGCCTACATTGCAGGAATGGTTTCTTAAAGTAGCTTATCTGGCGGAAATGGCAAAGATCTCGGCTTTCTTAAAGCAACAAACGCAAGAGAAGTTTTTTGCTGTTTGGGATAAATGGATAAAATTTATACAATTTAGATTGGGTATACAAAAATATTATATAGTTTTTTCATAAGTTTTATTTTTATATATATTATAGATAATTTTTTTATATATATAAATATAAAGTTTTTAATTTAATTTTTATTTTTACTTTTTAAGCCTATATTCTGCTCTGGGAAGCTCGGGGGGGGGGGGAAGGGAGGGGGGGTTTTTTTTGGGAGGGGTGGGGTTTTTTTTTCTTTTTTTTTTCTTTTTTTATATGTATTGTTTAGTTTTATTTTTTTGTATATGTTGTCTCTTGTTTTGTATTCTTTTTTCTTTTTTGTAAAATTTATAAAACTTCTAATAAAAAAAAAAAAAAAAAAAAACATGATTATTTCCCCAAATACTGGGGTCAAGATGAGTAGTTCCCATCAGGAGAGAATATGAATGTGAGTCAGATCCACTTAGTATTACTATTTATTCTTGATTACTATTGTAATTTGGTTATTTCTTATAAGCTGTCGAAAGTTGCATTGTTCAAGTTGGGCGGGCATACACACAGACACACACAGATACACGCATGTGTAGCTTCGATTAGTGGGATCTAGGAAAATAACCTTCTCTGCTGTTGCTCCCACCTTATGAAATATCATCCCCCGGAAGTGAGATTGGCCTCATTTTCCTGGCCTTCCTTGTATGTGGGCATCCAGGAATGCCATGCGATCTTGAGTGTGGTTGGTACCTTGAGGGTGCTTCCTCCACCTTTTAACTTTTTTTTTTCTTGTTCCTTATCTTGTTTTAAGTCTATTTTAATTGTACCTTTTTATGATTTTATGATCTTTACCTGGAATCTGTCCAGAACCATCTAGATAGCAAGATGGGTAGTAACTAAATTTGATAAATAAATATGGTCAATATTGACCTCCGAGAGTTATTTGAAGTACTGTTAGTTAAAGTAGCATTTATTATTTTCATATAATGCATGTTTGAGGGTTGATGAACAAGCTCAAACTTCATAAAGGTGTTGATGAGTTGAAGAATTTGGGGATTGCAATCACAATCTTAAGAATGAATCCAGCCAGCTCTAATTTTTCAGTAAATAATGGCTTAGCATATTGTGTAAAAACACCCTTAATATATTTTACTATTGTTATTACTCAATTCAATTCCCTTTTAAGGAAGAAATGCCTTTCTCAATGGATTTTGCAAATGTTTTGTTTTCCTCTAAGAATGGAAGATTACCTATTGTATTCTCTAGGACATGGGTCTCCAACTTCTGGGCCTGGCCCACTACCCGGCCACAACCCATTCAGAACCGGGCCACGTGAATGTGAGTGCGCATATACATGCACAGCTCCACTTGTGAGTTGCGGGAGCTCGTGCTCATCCGCAAAGCTCCATTTACGTGAGTGGCGACCACTTGCACAGAACCATCCCCTCTCCCATTCAGAACTGCACTGCACAAGCAGCGGGTGAGTGCATGTGCATGCGCAGCTCCAGTTGTACAAGTGGCAGGCATTCACATGCAAAATTCCACTTGCGCAACAGTGAATGCTCGTGTGCAAAGCTCCATTGTGCACATGCTCGCTCTTCTGGCTGGGGACCACTGCTCTAGGACAAAAGTTATCATTATTGTCAACTGCATCTCAGTAATTACAGGTAATGTGCAGACAACAAAGAATTTTGTTCACTGAATAGTGCTTTACTGACTTGAAGTTGCTATGACCAGGAGTTGAAATTGAAGGACAAATTAAGCATAGTGGTCTTGGCAGTAACTTCTCAAGCATTCATTTGCTTTTGTAATGGGTTTTTTATGAAAATGCAAATAAGTCAATCATAGAAAGTGAACAGTTTTCGGCATGTATATGCCAGAATTCAACTTTTAAATTCACCATTTAACAACCAAAGGCTCAATCTATGTGTTAATTTCATCATTTAGCTTTGCTACCAATAATAATAGGTTCATGTAAATACTGAGCCTTAAGTTATTGCTCTACCAGTATCATAGGTAGCTAAAGCTTCACAGTCCTTTAGTTCCAATCTGCAGTTTATTACAGGATTTAATAAGCACATTTGTTTTAAACTGCAGAAAGCTGGGAGTAAATTTTAAGAGATTTTACAGACAACACAAAAAAATTAAATATCTTTACGCTCCAAAACTGAAATCAAAATTAATGTTTTGAGGTATTATACAATATAACCATAATCAGAGTAAATTTATTTCCATTATCATAGATGCTATGGATAACATAAAGACATACAATCAATAACCAGTTCAAAATCTTAAGTTCCAGCCAATAGTTTAACATTGGCATAACAGCTTGTACGTTAATAGAGAACATGTTACTATAGAAACAAACAGAACATAAGCTTGTTCAGATGCCAAGAAAAAATAAATCTTAAAATGACTGCATAGATTTGTTGTAGGCAGCCATCCAAGTTGTGATCAAAAGGGAATAATAAAGTCTGTTTTAATTAAAGTATTCTAGAAGAAACAAGATTTGATACTATCTTCTGGAAAGAGGTCAGATGCAATCCAGTTAATCTTCAATGTCATCCAAAATGAAGTCAATAAAAAGGAATACACAGGATGTTTTGCAAGATGCCCATATGAGATTGTTGTCCCCCACTTCTGACAGAAAACCTAATCATGCAGTGATAAAAATGGCACCTGATCACAAATGAATGTGTTTGGTTTACAGTCTGTGTACAACTATACACTGTATACACAACTAAGCAAGCAAAACAAATAAAAGACATCTCCTGAAGCTGAGTTTAACTGAGTTATTTAAGGTGTAATCACCCAAATGCATAACCAAAGAAAGGTTGTTCTTAACAAATGAGATCAAAATCATCCCGTTCCTGATTGTAGTTGAGTACATGTTGTCGGATGCGAGAGGAATCAGTCCAGGTAATAAAATCCTCCATGGCCCTGGTTACCAAGAATGCAGGGTCTGTTACAACTTCTGGTCCCACCCGAATATGTCCTTGCTCCACAAAGGTAACAGCAGATTTCAAGTTTTGCGCCATACGGAGCTTTATGAGCAGACAAGGCAAACGGCGACGGCAGAAGGAAGAGGCTGAGACTCGATCACACTGCTCAAGAGAGCTCTTAGAGGGTACCACACCCATGGTATAAAGCTTCTCCAGAAGAGCAGCAGTGCTCCTAGCACGGAAACCCGCTGATTCTGGTACATCACCCAGGTCTCTGATTCGGCGTGCTAGGTCCCGAACAGCCCGACTAAGCTGATTGTAGCGAGTGTAATCTTCCCTCCGCTGTATACGGTAACGACGAAGCACACGCAGCTCAGCTAGATTGCCTGATGCAGCTTCCCAGTTCACCAGGTCTAGCTTCTTGAGAAGCTTCTGCTCATGAAATTTCAGTTTCCGCACCATGCTCTTCTCTTTGATTGCCTCAAGGGGAGAAACATGTTTAACTTATTTTTTACACCAAGATGCCTTTAAAAGACCAAAATGTTCTAAGTTCAGTATCATAAACATGTTAATAAAATAAATGAAAATACCTGCTGCTCACAAGAAGCAGGTTTCTACCAATGCAGCTAACAGTTTATAACGACGCACCAGAACCTCATAAAAAAGTTCCATTTTTTTACCTACAGATCACAATTTAAGAGATTTTATATAGGCAAGAAGGGATAGGATAAGTTACGTACACCAAGTCTTGAGATTCTGAAGCACAGTTGAGCACGGAATATTTAACACACTTCTTTGAGAGTGGGTTCCCTTACTTCCGAGTTGATATGCATAGGGTGCATTGCCCTCCTTCCCCTCCCCGGCTTTGGATATCTAAAAAGCGACATCTGCTTATCAAATTCTACTTACCGGCTAGTTACGCCTTCAATATGGAAAAAAAAAAAAACCCAATACGTAAAAATCCCGAACTTGTAATACAGCGCGTGCCCGGAATGTAACACGAATTCCCACGCGGGAGAAGAAAGCAGCACGTCTTCCTTTTCCGGTCCCGGAACACCAGATAAGCCCCGGGTTTTTTGAGCATAGACTTATGAAACAAGACGGGATTCACACCGGTCACTTCCGAGTTGGCTTGGGATGTCCTTAGCCGCCATAACAAACAAGTGGAAAGTGGGGCAAGAAAGGCTTAAAGAACTTTTACTGCAGTATACTAAAGTCATTATTCATCTTAGTATCTGTTCTGAGGAAGCAATTGGGAGATGGGTAATTATTTTGTTAAGTTTACTAAACGTTGTTCCAATCGTTAACTAGCTTTGAGGGGCAAACAATAAGTAAACATGATTAAAACAAGAAAAATACCCGTTACATAATAAAACATTCCTATGACGAGGACTCATAAAGCCCTTATCCTTATCCTAATAGTAATCGAATAGAATTGAAAACAATGGGCTGGGCAGTGTTTTTCCAGCAGTCAGAATGACCCCACATGCTAATTCTCAAGAGAAGAGTATAGAAAAAGCAAAACAAAAACAAAACCTGCCGGAGGGCTGACAATTAAAACAGCGTTCCCCAGTTAAGGAAGGGGAAAACTGACGGGCTGCAACTTTTCCACAATACCCCTCTCTCTCGTTTGTGTAGTTTAGCATCGTACTGTCACATATGAACACAAATATCGTAACGTTTCCCGCCTTCCCCTCCTTTACGCCCAACTGCTCAGAGCAAAAAAAGAAATACATAACCGGTGGAGCAGCAACAATCGAGATATGAAATCTTCGAACCAATCCGGGCTCGGCGGGGGCTGGACTTTTTATTAGGACACCAATAAAAGCCCCGCACCATCTTCCAATTACATCTTTCCGATGGTAGACGGACTGATGCAAGGGAATAAGAATATAACCAATGAAAACGCAGTATTGTTGTCTGAACGACCAATTAGAAACGGCAACAAAAATTTGAATCGGAACTCTAACCGAGCCTGCTGGTCAAGCTCGCGCGTGGATCTAGCTGGGTGCGGACGTTGCGTGTGGCCGTGAGGTATGGCGATGTTCCTCAGGGACGACTCAGAAATGGATGCGGGCTGAGGTTACGTGGTTGGGGCAATGGGGGGTCGTGGGAATGGATTTTGGAATCGGGGCGGATGAAGACCAGGACTTCTGGATCTACCTGCATGTATTTCGAAGCAGACATTTGGTCTGGTACTTTGAACAGAACAGAATGACAGAGTTGAAAGGGACCTTGGAGGTCTTCTAGTCCGACCCTCTGCTCAGGCAGGAGACCCTATACTATTTCAGACAATAATCGTCCACTTAGTCTCGTCTTAAAAACCTCCAGTGATGGAGCACGCATAACTTCTGAAGACAGGCCGTTCCAATGGTTGATTGTTCTCGCTGTTAGGAATTTTTTCTTTATTTCTAGTTTGGTTCTCTCCTTGCTTAGTGTCCACCCTTTGTTTCTTGTCTTGTCTTGTCTTCTAGTGCTTTAGAAAATAGGTTGATCCCCTCATCTTTGTGGCAGCCGCTCAAATATTGGAACACTATTATCATGTCACCCTTAGTCCTTTCTTTCAGTAAACTAGATATACCCAGTTCCTGCAACCGTTCTTCATATGTTTTAGCCTCCAGGCCCTTAATCATCTTCGTTGCTCTTCTCAATCCTTTTTTAAGGCATCAAGCTAGAAACCCAGAGACAGTGAGTTCTAGTGCTGCCTTAGACCTGAAAGTTAGCTGAGTTACTTTGAGCCAGTCACTCCCTCAACCCAATCCATCTCACAGGGTTGTTATTGTGAGGGAAATAGGGAAAGTACTGATACTGATTAGTTGCCTGGAGGTATTTATACAAAATAATAGCAGGATAAAAATAATTTCAAACTCTGGCTGAAATAGGTATTGATTAAGAATCACCTTGCAGCAAATGGGCCACAAACATATTTATAAAATAAAAAAAATAGCCAGCATTGATGCCTCTTTGTCGCTATTTTGTTACCATAAAGCATAAATAAAGAATTAAACCTTAACCCTGAGAAGCTGGACTGTTCAGCTTCTATGAAGACAATCACAAAGCATGTTAGTGGTATAAGAAACCAGACCAACAAAATTGTGGTTTGAAACTTATGAGGACTTATGAGCCAGAGCTACCCGTGTCCTCCAGATATGTTGCACTGGGACTCCATCACCCCATTTGTGGTGGCCTTGGTTATGCCAGTTGGAAATGCTGGGATTGCACTACAATATATTCTGTAATGGCTGCCTTTGTTTTAGCCTTTCACAAATATGAGGAAGAAAATCAAATCTCTCCCAAAACTAGTGGAAGGGCTTCAGGAAGTAGAGTAAATGCCATTCTGCTGGGGAAGTAATATATTTCTTAACACCGTTGGTATTGAGCTGAAAAGTAGGGATTTGTTACGGAATTGGATATGCTACATCTCAGGTCCCATCTTCCCCCAAGGGTTGCTGTAATTTATTTCCTGACATTAATGGAAAGATTCCTTGAAACCCAATACAGTAGCATAGAAAAAGACATTAATTTGCCAGCAGATCTTTAATTCCCAGCTATACTAAGAGAGGTAGAATTGCTCTATCTACAGACTATAAGGAAAATCCAGGATTGAAGGCAGCTTCTCACTGAACATAAGTTGCTGTAGTTCACTTTTGGTGGGAACTATTGCTCTTCTGCTTTGCTCTGAGAGACAAGTTGCTTAGCTAGATAAGCTGTAGTTCCAGTGCAGCCTTTGTGTTTTTCTGATGTTGAGTCATGCGTTTTGCATTTTACTTTGCAATAGGACAAAATGTTAGAAAGCAAAGAGACTCTTAAGTATTTACATTCTGTTTTATGACTTACTGTAGATTGCTAGATCTTGACCCTTTAACTTTTTAAAAATGTTAGAATAGGTACAGTATTTGAAAATAAGTACAGTGTTTTCTTTCTGCAAAAAGTCCTGGATAAAATGCTCACCACTGATTCCAGATAAGCTCTGGAAGATGCCTTAGGGCAGCTATCTCCAGTCAGACTTGACAGTGTAGAAGAGAATATTTATAATTCAGGGTTGAACTTTGGGGTCCTTGGTGTTCTCGGAGTTAGATGGACTTCTTGCAGACGTTTCATTATCAAATTTAACATCATCAGTGCATGGGTAACAATACAATTGGTCAGAGAGATATATGTAGCTTGTGTATTTTGGGGGCATCCATAAAAGCATTGGGGGATGGGGCTTTTCATCTACCACTGTTTTTTAGCAATTTGACCTTTTTTGGAAGACACAGAGTTCTTTTGATTCAATTGTCTAGTTTCTGTATTACATTGGGGTTCACTTGGATGTAAGTTTCTTTGTCTTTCAATAATCCTTTGGCTTTTTTATATACTATACCATGCTAACTGTTGTTCGGCCTTTGTCTGCCGGTAGGATGATGATCAAATGGTCCTTTCGGTTTGGGAAGCTGCTGTCCTCTGCTTTAAGTAGGTTCTGTTCCCATTTCCTTCTGATCTGTAGTATGATAGTTTGATGCTTTCTTGCGTCTCTGTGAAAAGTCCTGGGTTTTAAAAGCTACTTCTAGAGCTGTAAAGACTTCAAGCTGATTAACATAATCTGGGCTAAAGTTGAGGCCTTTCTGTAGAATATTGTATTCTGCAGTAGATAATTGGCAGCTGAACATGTTGAACACTCATTCAGGTCTCATACCTCTTTGATTCTGGAATTTAGTTTGAGTAGTTTGGTTTGCAGTTTAGTTTTCCTTTTTCCGATGCATCTAGCGGTGTGCGGGTGAGCATTATCATGAATCAACATCACACCAGAAATGGTGCCATAGAAAATCCCGCCAAATGTGAAGATGCCAAAGGAGTACTGCTAGTGAAGTTCATGGAGCATGGTTCAACCATCAATTCAGAAGTCTACTGTGAAATCTTACTAAAACTCAGACGAGCCATCCATAACAAGCATCGGGATATGCTGACCTCCAGTGTGGTATTGGTTCCCAATAATGCTTGCCCGCCATCACTAGACACACCCAAGAAATTTTAAAGCAGTTCCATTGGGATGTTTTTGATCACCACCACCACCCCATAGCCCAGATTTGGCACCGAGCGACTACTATTAAGGAATTTCAAACCTTGTAAAATGTTATGACAAGTGCCTCAATTTGAATGGCGGATTATGTCGAAAAGTAATATAATGTTGTAGTTTTCTAATGTGTATAACAAAAGTTCTGTATCTGCATGTGTCTGTCATTGATAACCAAACGGAGGTTTATTTCCGAATTGTAGCTCATGGTTGAACTATGAGACAGGGGTGCTCTCTGAGATTGGTGGGTTTCTTAATAATACTACCTAGTTCGGTAATGAAACATTTGCAGGAAAACCATCAAGCTTAGAGAGGACCAAAGATCTCACAGATGTAGCATATCTGAGCTGCCAGTGGTCTGGTTTTGGGAATTTAAGAAAGGAACTGTGAAAAAAGAAATGCCTTCTTGCCAGTATTACAGGTAATCCTTGACATATGACTACAGTTGGGATGGGGAATTTTTCATTATTAAGTGAAAAGTAGTTCATTGCTGGTTGCTATCAAGTGACTTCCATTGATCATTAGATGAGGACCTACCCCGTTCCAAGCTATTCACAACCTGATCTCTCCCAGCCCCAAGCCTTGGTTTTTCCTGGGTAAGGGATTGTCTCTCCTCAACTCCCCCCAACTGCCTATTTCCCCCCCCTCCCCGCGCGCAACTTTCCATTTTGGCCACCCTGAGTCCTGTCTTTTGTAGTGGCAAGCAGTCCCAGATTCACATGGCTCTGGGCTGCTTGCCAGTCACAGTGGTTTAGGAGCTTCTTGGTGCACTGCAGCTCTGGGGCTGTAAGAAGCTGCATGGCAAAGGTTTAGCCACCCCAGCTCAAGCCAGCAATGCAGTGCAAAGGCTCTGAACCCCCAGGAAGCTCCAACAGTGCTGTGCAAAGCCATGGCATTCCTGGGAAGCTCCAATAGTGCAGCAGAAAGCCGCAGCATCCCCAAAAGCCCCTCATCCCTGCGCTCCACCACCCCAACTATACTTCGCTCATCTTCTTGCTCCTGCTCTGATGAAGCGTGCTGGTTTGGCCCTTTGTAAGGTACCTGCTGGCCATGGGGAGGCCATCTTCCCCAGATCTTGTGAGGAAACCGCTGTGTGCAATCTGGGAAAGAGAGCCTTGTACAGCCAGCAGCTACCTCACAAAGAGCTATTCCAGGCATGCTTGTTCAGCAGTGGGAGCAAGAAGACAGCAGAGATCAGCTAGGGCGGCAGGGGCCAAAGGGGCAGAGAACATAGATGGGTGAGGAGAGTTGGGACACCCCTGAGAGGGAAAGGCGGATGGGCTGCCAAGCGCTCAAATCTTTATCACATGACCATGGGAAAGCAGCAACCGCCATAACTTCAGAGTCCCACTGTAAGTCCATTCAGTGTTGCTGTAAACTATGAATAGTTGTACATAGAGGACTACCTGTATAAAGCATTCATGTAGGGCAGTGATGGTGAACCTTTTAGACACTGAGTGCCCAAAAACCGCCCCCACTCAGCCTCCCCTGCCTGCTCTGTCCCCACTCACCTCCTGCTCCGCCCACCTGCAGGGCCATGCACCGCCTCCATGGCCCACTGCAGCAGATCGCCATAGCAGCCATGCCCTCCGTCCATACCCCGCAGCATCATCTGCATGCTATGGGGCACAAGGGCGGAGTCTTGTCCCTGCTGCCGGCTATCTCCTTGGCTGCGCTGCTCCGTGTGGGCTGTGCCCAGGGGCAACTCTCCTCCAGGGTGGCTGCTGGTGAGGATGGGGCTGCGGGAGGAGGCGGGGCTGGGGTGACGGTGCATGTGCCCACAGAGAGGGCTCCGAGTGCCGCCTCCGGCATGCGTACCATAGGTTCGCCACCACTGATGTAGGGTGCAAATGCATTTAGAGTAATGTGTACTTTTCTGGTTGCCCTATTCCAGAAAGATTGTTAGAGGTACATAGAAAATAGTAAATAAAATTATTGAAGCTGTAACAACCATTTTGTGAAAAAAAGTTACATTGCTTGGGGTATGACAGTGGTACATTCTGCTATTTGTTACCTGCATAGATTTAGCAATATGTATAGAAACAAATTGCTTGTCAGTAAAATTTTCAGATAGCACAGCAAAGTTCTGTAAGTAAAATGCTGCTTGCCCTTATTTTATAGCTAGATTAAGATGGCCACTAATTTTTCCACTCGGTACAAAAAAGATCTGAGCATCGATACACTCAAGACAAAACTTGTTCGCCGAAAGTCTACAATTCAAAAAGAGAATAGACACAAGGAATTTAATAAAGGCAGGCAATTTGGACTAGTTGATGTGAATATACAGCCATCAAGAGACAAAGTTACTTCTCAGCTGGGTGAAAAAAGCAAAAGAGGTGTGCCAAAGCCAAGTAAGTAAAAGCTTTTTAAATATTAACCAAGACTTGTTTTCAGTTTTTATCTTTGTTCTTCCTAAATTTACTAAGTTATTTTGTTACCTTTTTCAATACAACAAGTCCCCAGGTTAAAAACAAGTTTCATTTCTAAGTCTGTCCTACAAGCTGAATTTGTACCCAAACTGTTATTTTATGAAATGTTTGTTTCACTATGAACTGCTGAAAACAGACCAGAGTGTGCACAGACACCGAATGGGATGGGGATTGCAAGTGTCTGCAAGTAAGGAGACATGCAGGAGGGCTCTTTGAAAGGATCTATGTCTGCCGCGAGGAACTCGCTATGGCCTACTCGCTGCAGGACAAGAGTTACACTAATATCCAAGAAATGGTGGAATACAATCATTAAAGAAAGGATGCCAGAGGAGGGACAAAATGAAATGTGAATGACAAAAATATTTTTTTAATTATATTAAATAATTAAATTGAATTGTTGAATTGTCCCGCAGTGAGTTGCCCTGTGGCCACGGCGAGTTGTCCCATTCTGCTTTGAAATGCTGCATTGGAAAAATAGGTGGTGGTGTTCTGTTCAGCCATAGCCTCCCTACCTGCAGCATCAAGGCTCTCCTTGGCAGTCATGTGCACAAGAAAAAGAGACACTGCCAGGGCCTCCTCACTTTGCAGTGCCTGCAACTGTGTGCATGAAAGAGATGTCTGTGTCTGTGTGTGTGTGAGAGAGAGAGGGAGAGAGAGAGAGAGAGAGAGAGAGAGAGAGAGAGAGAGAGACTGCCAGCATGCAGCCTTTCTCTTTTTGAGTTGAATCTCACTGCCAGTCAACTGTCCACTATTTTAAGTTTATATCTAGGTGTTGTTCATAAGACAGAGGTTCATAGCCCGGGGACTTCCTGTACTTCTAAAACCTCTTTTGGTTATAGCCTACGCTTGGATTAAATTTATTAGTTTCTGTGATGTTTTAAAATCAGTGCAGAATTTACAATGTTGTAGCATCTTTAACAATTTGTTGTTTAAATATTTATCACAAAGAAAGCCTCTTGAAACAATTCTTACATTATGTGTCTAATGTGTAGAATGATTTTTCACTTTTTATTCTGCTCTTGTCCCCGGGACAATTGAGATCTGCTATGTTTAAGTTTAATTTTTTATTCTTCTACACTATATATCCAAGCTCTTAATTGTTTCTCACCAAACTCACTTTGTTGAATTATTCTGGAGAAACTTCTTCATGTAAGTGTTGTTAAAACATGATGCCCAGAACATGGTTTGGCATTTGACCTAAGCAACATAGACTGGGACTATTCGACTTGGACTATTATTTCTTATGTTCTGGATATCGTGCTACTATTAAATTAGCCTGATTTTTTTCTTGTTTTGTAGATACTGTCTGCTATTTAACTTGCAATCATCTAAACTGGCTAGATATTTTTCCCATATATTGTTGCCAATATAAGTCTTTCTGCCTTTTTCTGTACTTTGTTTTTTGTATATCTAATTGTGGGACATTGTTTTTAACCTCTTTTTGGTTTGAGTCTACTGTTCTAACTATTCAAGATATGTTTTAATTTTGATATCGTACTTTATGTGGGATTTCAACTCGCATTTGTTAAATTGTAGCTGCTGCAGTCAAGACTCGTGAACAAGAGCGCATGGAGATGCTCCAACGCTACAAAACTGAAAAAGAACTTCGCAGGTTGAAGGAGCAGAGAGAGAAACCTATTTTTAAATGTGGACAGTTCAAACCAGATCTCCCTGCTTTTCTCTCTAAAACATCACAGATTCCCGTATTGAACAAATCAAAAGAGAAGGTGAGAACAATTTTATACTTAAGCTTAGTTCTAATGCATCTTGTATTCCTTTACTAAGCCCAAGTTGCCTGAAATAGCTAATTCATATGTTGGGTTAATAAAGCATGAGTTGAACTTCATAAGTTCTCTGAACTTCTTAAACACTTTAGGCTTTTCCATTTCTTGTTTGTCCATATTTAGAATTGGAAATGAAATTCTGGTTTTAGTCCTTGCTTAATGACTATTTTGTTCAGTGACTATTCACAATTATGACAGCACTGTGCATAGGGACTTACGACCCATGCCTAAAGTTATGGTTGTTGCAGGACCTCCGTGGTCACATAATTGTAATCTGGAAACTTGGCAATCCATTTGCATTTACAATAGGTTGACAAGCATCCTGCTATCCTGTGATCACCATTCGCAATCTTCCCTGCTGGCTTCCCCAAAAGTCAATTGGGAAGCCAACAGGGAAAATTGCAACCATCTGCTGCCTGCCAGGATGACTTCCTCTGATTTCGAGGGGCTGGCTGAAAAGGATCTGTCCTGAAATCATAGCAGGATGTTAGCACTGAGTGTTTGGAGGACAGTATGCTTGCAGTCAGCCCCTAGGAACCAGAGGGAGTCCTCTTATATCTGGGGGCTGGCTATAAATGCCCCATGCCGCAAATACTCCATGCCAAAATCCTGCTTCAATTTCAGAATTGATCTCTTTCAGACTGTATGGCATTCATGCACTGGGTTGGAAAAATGAAGAGGTCTTCGTGACCCCCATTTCATTTCTCCAGCCCAGCACATGAGTTCCCTTCTATGCACGATGATGAGCTGCCTATCCTCCTTTAGCAGAGGGCTCTTTTACTCCACTTAATGATTGCAACTTGGAAAGCTGGGATTGCAGTTGTTGAGTAAGCAGTCACATGGGCATCTTCCTTAATGATTGCTTTGCACAACAACTGAGATTCCAGTCCCAATTGTAATAAGTCCAAGGCTATCTGTAGTTTGATGGATAATAATAGCTTCTATGGATCAGAAAGGGAAAGGAGATTTGTGTATAAAGTAGGAAGAAAAGGTTACATGAATATAAGATCTATTTACAATCGCCAGATCATGATCTTGTTATTTTGAGGTGCCATAATGCTCACCAGAATATTCCCAGGAAAGGCAAAGTCTTTAAATTGATTCTTTGTCAGATTGCCTTATTTAAATTCAAGAGGAACTATGAATAAGTTTTCATTTCCAATTTTCAAGTGAAGGAATGATAAGATAAACACATGGTTGGCTCACAAACAGCCTTTTTCCAATCACTTCCAAATAGGTAGAATGCATCCTATCAAAGCGAATAGAGACTTGATATTCTGCTCTGGTTTTCAGACCAAACAGGTTACTACATGATCAGGCTAGGAAGAAGCAGTTTCTCTGTCCAATTGGTCTTTATATTTGAAGGGAAAAGTCTGCATGTTCTGTGTTAGATGGCTTTCCTAGTTTAAATAATCCAAGTTTCATTGAGTTAATGCACAAATCTGTACAGTATTTTATTGTACAGTATTTCAGAGCTGTAGATATGAAATGATTTGGTGAAATGATTCTTATAGCTCAACATATTTAGTTTTACATTGCACAGTATTTTGTAGTATTAGATGACACTTTGATGTTGTGTTACTTTAGATTTAAACTACTGAGGGGGGGGGGTAATTGAAATCTGCATTTGACCATGAGTTTGATTCCATAATCTTGATTCAGTAGCACATACATATGCAAACTGTAGGGACTTTTATGAGAAAAATGCCCAGGTGCACATGTAGGTAACTCAAAATATTTGGAAGAAAGTATAAAATAAAACTAATCAATACATGAAAGGGGGGCATTATTTGTTATACAAAAGTGTGGAAAATTCAGTTGGAATGAGATAATTGAGCAGTTTATGTGAACACAGCTTTTTCAGTTTCCAGATAAAGTACATAGCTACATGAATGATTTAACTGCATATGTTTTAAATTTACCCTTCAGCAATCCTTTATATTTACTTTAGTTCAAAAAATGTTTTATTTGAACTTTTTTATAAATTGTTTTTGGAGAACTCCTGAAAGGCACATACTAAAATATCAGTAGGTAGCCAAGCAACAGTAATTAAGAAAATAAATAACCAGGAGCAAAATAAGACATTAAAAAAGTCACATGAAAATTCCTAACTGCTTTCTGGTTATTCGAAAAATGTTTCTTGCTAAAAGTTACACATATAATATGGAGATTGGAATTTGCTCATTCTTATTTCTGGATTCTGGATTGTTCCTAGGAAGCTCCAGTTGTCATGCGAGTTACAAGGTCAAAAGCAAAACAATTGCCAGAACCAAAGAAGCCACAGCTATCAGCGGTTTGTCTTACATATTTGTTTTTGATCATATACCATTTGCATGTTAATTACAAAAATGTGCTGTCACATTTGTGGCAATTAAATTGGGATGAATAGAGTAAGATTATACATGAAGTATTAGTAACTAACTAATTTGTGGTGTATTACAATACCCGGAATTAAACCTATCCTACTTCAATTTTAGAAAATAAACATTGATGAATCAATACATGATTATTTTTAGCAAAAAATGGAAATGGGGGTTTGTGGAGACCCTTTCGAAGATATTAATATATCATGTAAATTGAATTGTTCTGTTCATAATCCAAACAATGATTGGGGTGGGGCTGGGTTTGGACAAGGAGATCTGTTTCTCCAACTTCTTGATGCTCTGAAGTTCATTAAATAAAGGTAGCCCTCAGTTAACCATTCATTCAACAACCATTTGAAATTATGACTTACAGCAACCCCGCAGTCATGTGATTGTGATCTGGGTACTTGGCAACCCATTCCCACTTCCAGCCAAGTGCCCCATGATCATATTATCTCCTTGCCAGCTTCCCCAAAAAGTCAGTAGGGAAGCCAGCAGGGAAGGTGGCAAGCCACCTGCTGAAAAGACTCCTTCCAGTTTCTGGGGGCTGGAAGCATCAGAATCAAAGAGCATTTGCAACCAGCCCACAAATGAGAGAGTCCTCTTGTCTCTGAGATCTGGCTGCAAATACCCTGTGCTGCAAACACTCCATGCTGAAGTCCTGCTTTGATTTTAAGGCAGATGCAGCAAAGGGGGTGCAGTCAGCCTCCAGAAACCAGGAGAGGGCTGGCTGCACATTATTCAAAATGTTCCTGATTTTAAAAAAAAAAACAAATTCAGGAATTCAACACAAATCTTAAATTCCTCAATAGTGTATTCTTCCTTTCAAGTTGATAATGTAACAGAGGATGCTGGCTGACGAATTTTAAGAGTTGAAACCTACACATCTTAAAAGCTGACAAGGTTGAGAAACACTGGTCTAGAAACATGCCCAGAGGGTTTTGTGAAGTTTTGTGCCATATCAAAAAAGATGGTGAAAACTTTTTTAATCATGAGCTATTGGTTTTAGAACATGAAGAACGGAAAAGAGTGCTGATCAACAGACACATGCTTTGTGTTTTTTCCATCTCTTTTCTAGACATGGGGTTAGATGCAGAATTCTCTTGCATCCTAGATCTTGTATATTCATTTTAGAATAATTATTTTGATTTAAAGCACTACTAGATGTTATGTGCCCAAAATTTTAAGTACCACTATTGGTATAATCTTAGCAGAAAGCTTTACCAGGCTATCAGTTTTATATAAAATTAAGAACTGTATTTTGAAATGCTCTTGTTACTGAAGCAATTTTTGTAATGCTGTTTGATGGTAGACATTTAAGGCACATACCAGGTGACTAAACAGAGAGTTTTAAAAGGCTGGATCAAAAACAGGTCACTGATGGAGTAAATGGCTAGTCAACATTTCCTTATAGACTGGAATGAAATGGATAACACAGTGTGATTGCTTTCTTATTTAAAAACGAGGTGTGTTTTTATATTTATATTTCTTTAGGTTGCATCTAGCTATACTAGGAAGGGCTGCAATTGGCAGATAGCTCATCAAGAACAGAAGCAAATCTACATAGACAAACCTTCCAAAAAAGAGAGTAAAGGTATGAGTTCTTTGTCCTTATTTAATAAGGGCTCCAGTGGCTCTTATGAATTTTGGTGAGGAAATAGCTAGAAGTTGGTAATGTAGTTTCACATCACTGCAGAGCAGGAAATACAAAATAACTATAGTGTAAGTTCTGCAGTGGTTTTAGTACCAAAATATCTAAAAAGTCCCAACCCTGACCAATTGTGTGACATGGTCCAATCAACTTTGTTTAATTTTTGTCCTGCAAAAAAATGGTATCTATCCTTGCGATTTACAGAACATCTAAGATTTTAGTGATTGAACAGCTTTCTCCCATTTTTCAGAGGTGCAGTCTGCCATCTCAAGAATCACACATGGAAGAATAACAAGAGCAACAGTGGCGGCTAAGTCCAGAATACCACAAGCATCAAAACCAACTATAATTTCAGGTGGGTGAAATTGTACTAAAGTAGTTTACATGAACAACTGAAGGTAAAAATATCCTTGATGCAGATTCAATGTCTAGCGATGTATGAGCACAGCCATGTAATTTCCTTGGTTTGTCATGGCCTACTTCTGGGATGCTATTTCAATTTCCCAGTCTTGCTTTCAGTTTGTGTATTTTTGATGGTCTCCTATCCAATTTATAATCGGGCATGATCTCACTGATCTACTAAGTACAAACAAGATCATCTATGTGATGCTTGATAATTTTACTGTAAGCGTTCTGGATTTGAATTCTGTTTTTATTACACTTCCAATGTATTTTTGTCTCTGCTTCTATAAAATAGTTATTTTCCATTGGTTTTTGTTGTTATTTTGAGTTTCTTGTGGTGAAAAATTTTGGAATAATGTTCAGTTGTTCTTTTTTAGGTAATCTGCCACAGAAAAAAGTTACAATTAAAGGAAAGCAGCAGAAAGAGATAATAAAGGAATGGACAACAGTAAGTTTGTTTTTTCATAGTATAATTTTTATTTTTTTCATGTATGTTGTAGTACCATAAGTGGTATGCTGCTATTATCCCTAATGGCAGTTCAGAAATCAAAAACTGTGACTTGCCTAAACTGAAATAGTGAAGTTTTGCTGATTCAACTCATCTGAGTTCAAACTTACATTCAGGCAAATCGTGATGATGGAAATATTCCCCAAGTGCCTGTGTTTTTAAATTAGTAGGTTTAAAGTTTTAAAATGCATCAAATTCTCAAATATGACCTAGAGACAAATGAAATTGGAATGTTACCTACTAATATTTTCCAGAAAAAAAACTATATATGTGTGTTTAAATTGAAAAGGAAATCACTGTATGTTTTATCAGGTAGTGCACAATACAAATCAAGATATTCTAATGGAACAAGAGAAAGAAGAGGTGAAGCTCCAATCAGTTGCAAGCAGTGAACAGAAGGACTCCCTTGAGAAAGAAAACATCTCAGGACCCCCCAAAAGAAACTGTTCATTTGCCCCTCAGAATTTTGTCTTTAAACCTCCCAAAGGCTTGACCACCTACAAAGTGAAACCAATGTCCCCTTCCAAGGCAAATGTGTTCTTATCACCCAATCTTTCCTGGAGCCCCTCAGAAACAATCAAGTAAGGATATCCCATTTCAGACTTTCTTATAAAGTATTTTATGAATCTGTTCAAACTATATTGATTTTCCCCTTTGCTTAATGCTGTTTCAGTTTCAAGCTCATAGAGGAAACAGCTAAGGAAGATAATTATTCCCACTTCCTCACTTGTTAATTTCCAGTTCTCCTTATTTCTGTTGCAATTAGTTTCCTCTTAAAAAGCCTCAAAACTTTTCAAGGCTGTGTATGAATTGGTTGCTTCTGGCTATCTATAGTGGTTTTCTTTTTAGAACTCTGAAATATGAGGACCAGGATGTCTTTCAAATGGAGATACCAAATCAAAATAGTATTGGTCTCTCGGATGGTGCAGTTATTTAAGCTAATTTTGGGAGTATACCTGTAATAAAGCTATGCAGAGACTTGATTATAAGGAGCAAACTTTGAATTCAAGTAGGCGTACAGAAATAGAACCATAACATAGATTTCATTATGTGTCGTTAAGTTGTTTTCAACACCAACAACCAGATAAATAGGCTTTTTCCGTAACTATCTCTAACCTATTCTTTCAATTTTCCCAACAGCCTCCCAATCACTCGAGTATCTGAGTCCATCCATCTTCTGCTGGGTTTCCTCTTTTTCTACCTTTCCCAGCATTAGAGCCTTTCATGTGGATATCATGTCAAATGATATTATCGTGGTGTGAGGGAAATCTACAGTTAAATTTACAGTTTAAATCTGGTGGAAACATAATAATTCAAATCCTAACCAAAGAGCTAAGAATTATTAAGGCAACTTCTAAGAATATAGGCAGTTCCAAGAAGGTTAGCGTTATTGTTGTTTTTTTGTAAAATTAGAGTGTTCCAAGTCTGATAAATATTTCAATATTTCCAGACATTGAGGAAGTTCTTTAGGTATTGCTCTGAGGGCTGCAATCACATTTGATATAATAACGGATTTCTTTTTCCATACATGTTCAGTTTTGATCATAATTTTATTATTATTATTATTATTATTAGTGAAGTCAACAAAGAAGAAAGAAAAGATTATGATCCTCAGTCATCCCCTAACATAGAAGTGACAAAGGAAATCACTGAAGGATACCAGTATGCCCTGGATTTATTGGAAGAAACGAAAGGAGGTATATCTAAGAAAATCTCTATACCACTGGTGCTAAGAGACCAAAACTTTAAAAGGATGTGTGTGTGAGAGAGAAGTACCATTGTAGATGCTCATTTGCCTTTAGGCAATATGCCTTTTTCTCCACTTCAGTCTTTGATTTATAGTGCTGACAAACAGTAGCTATCAGGCAGGGATGTGCTATACTTCAGTGAAGCTGAAGAAGTACTTTGGAATGGGTGCGACTGAACACTGATCTGCTGATACCTCTTTAATGAAGTTGCTTTGTTCCCTGGATTCTTCCAGGAAAATGTTCTTGATCTAAGTACTGATAAGCATACTCGTGCTCAGAATCACCCTATTGGCACATTCAGACCCTGCAGCAATGCATCAAGGATGGGGATTTTGATTTTACTCAAACCCATTGATCTTTTGAGAGATCCCTGGGGATGGGATGGTGATGATGCAATATGACTGAGGGTGCATCAGCCATATGGACAGCATTTAGAATTCCATTGGTGGAAGGCAACTTGTTTTCTCTGTTAAGCCTATTTAGACTTAACCATTACTCTGCATTTATTTTAAAAAGTCAGAATATTAAATTTGGCAATTAGATAGTCAGGTTTCAGAGCCAGCAAATGAAACAAAACAAAACCAGAGACCATAAGCAGACTTGGGGGTAATAGGCTACCCCTCGTCCCTCCCCCCTTCATTATTTAGTTGGTTAACTAAATAATTGCAACTTTAAATATGCAAAATACTAATACTTTGGCTAATATGATGGTTTACATTTTATTGATGGTTACTTAAAGAGCAATTATAGCCTGTTTAGTTGCAGATTGCATTCTTCCTATATTTTATACAGATTCTGCAATTTTTCTGTGTAATTTTTTTTTCTAGGACATGTGACTGATGAGATGAGGGATAATGTTACTTTTGAAAGTGAGAGCAGTGTGCAGCAACCAGATCTTCTAGCAACTGAAATATCAGAGCCAACAACAAAGCTCCTGCATGACGTGTTCTATTTCAGGTTTGTAGACAAGATCAAAGGGATTTAAAGTAATAAACTGCCTGGATAATAAGGATGCTTGTTAAAATATTTTCTTCAAAGACATTAATTCACCTTTGTATTAAAGTAAACAACAGATTTGCTATCCATAGATACTAGGGGATAGAAATGGTACCCAATCCATTTTACCTACTGGTGTAATTGTTTGGAGTTTAAAATGAGATTATATCTAGTTGTGCTACTGTGCGCCAGAGAATATACCTTTCCAAGCAAGCCTATTTCTGAAAATTATACACAGTCCCGCACTAGCTCCTAAGCTGATTGTCTAAGTAGAGTGTGAACAGAATGGTAGGAATGGCATTTTCCATACAATCTATTCTTTCCCTTGAATGAAAAGCAATGAAGTAAAATGGCTAGCAAAAAAGGTCTGTTCAGTCCTACCTAGCCTAGAAATCGTTCTTGTTATTGGAACCATATTTCCCAGGCTGCTACTATAGGCACTGATGTTTCTGAATTGCAACCTTAACTCTAATTATTTTAAAAAATATTACATGTATGAAAGCGAATCGGCATGTTCTGCCTATCTTTGTTTAGGTTAAGTAGGAAAAGAGGCAGCAGAAGTTCTCGAATCAAAGAATTGTAACATGTCCATCCTTAGCCAATATTTAGCTTAATAGCAAGAAGTATTCTATATAATGTGTTGTTGTTGTTTTTTACTTAGATTAATATTTTTAATTGATATGATTTTGAAGCACTATAATTTTATACTTTAGTTCCTTTGAGTATGTTATGGGTAAAAAAAATGGGTCATTCATTGAACTAATGAAAAATGGTGTCAATGTGCTTTTGTTTTAAAAGAAACATTCTTCAATCTAAGATCAAGAGACTGACCTCATTTTGTCTTGAATGGGATAAAACTGTTGAGATGGATATTCCAGAGGAGGGTAAGAGACAAAACACAAAAAGGATTTATGAAATTATTGTCAGAAATAAACAGCTGCCTGAGTTTAACTGTGACTCTGATAAGCCCATATATCTTTATCTATAGGTAGGCCTCGATTAGTGTAGTTAATGAATTCTACAAAATAGCCGCATTATTCAAATTCACACTGTTTGAAGTGATATTTCAATGGAAAATGTGGTATTGGTTCCAGCTTGATGGAACAGGCAATAATTTTTTTAATATAAATTGTTGTAAATATATTAATCACATATTGTAGTAAGGGATAAAGATAATTTACTTATTTAAATTTATGATTAACAAAATCACAACAAATATAAAAACTAAGTATCATTCCTAAATGCTTACTTACACTGATTGCTTCCTCTTTAACTCTTCATGCATATGCTGGTAGAATGAGTTTGCATGCTTTAATCAATGTTAGGGTCAGCATTCATATATATTTTTTAGTTCACAGTTTCTATAGCTCAAAAGATATCTTCAGATTTGTTGAGAGTGAACCTCTTCACTTGCACATTGACTGTTTTCCTCTGATGGAATTATCCTGTTCTGCATTTTACATAAATAAAGATCAGCAGCATCTAAAATTGCAACCGTGTATGCACTAGCTTCAATTGCACAGGTGCTAGTTTTGCAAATTGGGTCACAGTAAATACCGGTATGACTTAAAATCAATTTACAGCATATATTAACTTGAATATCACATTCAAATTTACATGAATTGAAGCCTTCCTCTATATATCGGTAGTTTTAATTTATATACTGTATGCAACAAAATACTGTTTTTCCAGCAAAAGATCTTGTCCGCACAACCATTGGGCAAACCAGACTGTTGATGGCAGAGAGATTCAAACAGTTTGAAGGGCTGATAGATAATTGTGAATTCAGACGTGGAGAGAAAGAGACAACTTGTACAGATCTGGATGGATTCTGGGATATGGTAAACTTTCAGGTAATTTTTTTTAACTGTTAAACCTCTGTTTGCATTCAGCTGACTCTTTGTCTTCTTTACCTTTACTTAATGGCCAGACTTCTGCTCTTCGGTCAACAGTAAACAAATCTTAGCCTGGTAATTCAGATTTTGCAACTGATGAAAAAGGTGAATGAGAAGACTTGTCCTAACTAGGAAAAAATGCACCACAAGGAAATTGCACTTTTTAGCTTGAACATGCATATCCCTTGGCTGCTGAGAGCATATTAATTTCTACACATAAAACTCAAGTTTGTTTTGGCCATCATGTAAACTTGAAATCTGCATCTTACAATAAAAGCTAGGGTTCTCCAGCATGCATTAAATTTGGCAATCCATATTAAATTCTCATTCACCCAAAGCAGCAGAATACAATGCAATGTTCCGAGACATTCCTAAGAAATGGCTAAAAGTGTCATGTCTTTGATTTCTAGGTGAAACTATTTCCTAAGGAAGCTTACTATGCTTTTAAACACTTAATATCTTTTTAAAAATATAAGCAGGGTTTTTTTGTAATCTGGTTCACTTTAATTTTGTTCTGCAACTTTTCTTTTTCTCAAACAGGTAGAAGACATAAATACAAAATTTGAGAAGTTGAAGACACTTGAGATGAATGGGTGGCAAATGGAGGATGATGCTCAGCCGCATAGACCTGCCAAGGTATGAGAGTCTTTGCTGGTTCTGCTTTTAGGGGGTGATTTTGCATGGCAGGTAATTACTATTTCTAACTGCAACTTTCTTGAGTGATACAGGCAACTGCGCAAAAAAGGCACAATTAAGTTTCTTGTGGACCAGAATTGTATTAAACTTAGCTACCTGTTCATCTTCTGAGAACTGTATCTCCTATAATCGAATCTGAGATGCACAGCAATTCAGATCAGAAATGGAAAATGTGATTTGTGGGGCATGGACGTGTTTGCTATATATGTCAATCATCCTTTTCTCGTCCAGCTTTCCTTTTTGTAGCCATTTCACTTCCAGGCTTTTGACTTGCTTCAGATTTTTGTTTTAATGCATTCTATTGCCCTGTTCACCCAAGTTTGCTTGTTGTAAACAAATAGATACATTGATTGTTGGGATTTTTATCAAAGTTTCTGATATCTGATATGTAATTTATATTTCCAGTGAACTTTAAAGTGTGGAGAAGCTAATAAAGACTCATGGCTAATCTTTTAGTTGCCTGCCTTGACATTCCTGAGTTTTGCTAGCTGCTAAGAATAGTTTGACACTGTGTGAAATCTGATAGGGAACGGAATAATTCAATACTCAGTGCTGAATTTATCAGTACTATAGTCAGTTTGAGACAGATGACCTTTAAATGTTCCCTAGGAGTGAAGCCATCTCATATCATAATTTAGCATTAGAGGGCTTTGTACTGGGTATTTTTGTGAGTCAGAGAGTAGGGTTTGGCTAAATATACTATGACAAGCAGTTCCAATTTTGGAATTGTAATACATTTTTGAAAAAAACTGCTTTTGTCTGTATTATTTACTTTTACTTCTATTAATAAACCATTCTACAGTAGTTACCCGGATAGTCAGAAGGCTTGACTGAAGAATATGCCCTCTTTGAAAGTATATTTGAACTTTCACTTATTGCAGTCCTAATATCAGACACTCAGCCTCTGACTATCCTGAGTTAGAACTAATCTTTTTCCTACCTGAAATACTGTCTTCTCTGATGAGATATCCCCTGGAACAGATAAATCTTTTGGACTGGTAGGCACATCTGAAATGCTGAGAATATCTTGAGGGCATCCAATCGTAGATTGGGATAGAGTCACACATTCTTTTAGTGATTGCAGGAATGGAAAGGCCTATTCACAAAGGTTTGCCCAGGAAACAAACTGGTGAGGCTGTTCTCCATTACTTTATTATTTATCTAGACAGCAGTCATATTTCCCAGCAAAGCTTTCAGCAAAGATTTTCTGTTATAAATTGATTGTGAGTGGTTTTTATATGTTGGTATATTGGTTTTTAACTTGCTTTTATTGGATTGTTTTTTTTTGCCTGTTGTGAATTGCCCAGAGTTGATTAGATGAGTTGGGTAGTTGTACAAATTTTAATAGTAATAGCATCAGGAGCATAAGGTTTTATTTTTATTTTTATTTGGATCATATGCCCTATGTTTCTCTATGTTGGCAGCGTGAAGATTTTGGTTGGTTAAGGAATTCTGAGAATTGAAGTCCACACGTCTTCAGGTTGCCATGGTTGATGAAACAGTGCCCTATACTCTGTCAGACTACTCAAGATTGTATTACAATGTATAAAATGTCATTGGAGTTGAGTCTATCGCTCGCTCTCTGACGGAGCAGTGTCTGCATGATACAGTTAGGATCTCTAGAGAGGTCTGGTTGCATTCCTTGTGCCCTGAGTTTTTAAAGGCTGGTGATAACCAGCTTTGCCAAGATATCTTTTGATTTCCAGAAAAAAACCATCCTTCGAAGGACAGCCAAAGCAGCAGGGGGGTCTGGCAAAAGGAGAGCAGCCAAAAAACGCCTTGCAGCTGTAAAAGCAGCCATGAAGAACAAGAAAAAAGAAGGGTTGGCAGCAGAGGCTTCAGGCCATGAAACGCCAAAAGAAGCAGAACGGATATTTGATGGAGGGTTTTTCCAAATTGAATCTCCTGCCAAACCCTTTCCAGGTCAGTCCAGAGCACTGCCTTGTGCAAGAACATACATCTTATGATGATAGTTATTGCAGTAGCTACATCTTGCTGACTCCGCATGAATTCCCGGTAGTTTATACAAAACTATACAACTTCACAACAAATTCATTTTGCTTCACTGTTCAAGTTCCACAGCATTAAAGATTTAAGCGCTCTTTTTTTCACTGTTTTCCTCAAGAACATCAAGGAAGATACCGTCCAGGTTTCTGAGGGCAAATTATTTTATAAAGAAATGTTCCATAAGAAATATCACCTTGTAGTCCACCTTCCCTGAAAGTCAGATGGATTGGGGAATCTTTAGCACCTCCATTTAGTATATACAGTACATATTGGATAGATGGGTTTTAGTTGGAGCAAGCAGCTGGGTGACCAGACCAGAAGTGGGACTTCACAGATAATAAGCTCTGATTGTACTCAAAACCCTGTTGTCAACAAGTGCAGTGCCACAATAATATTGTTATATGATTATGGTGTTTCTCATCCAACACTATGTAACCTGCTATATTTTATACAATTTGTAACTTCCAAGTATTCCCTAATACATTTATTTATATTATTTTTAAATATTTTGTTTTATATTATTTTGGTTACCCACTTCAAGACTCTAGGTATGGGTGGAGTGTTCTACCTCCTAGGGGGTGATGGGAACCATTGGGTCTTCAGATATCCACATCCAGAAAGTAGGGTGCCTTAGAGCAGTTGGTAGCTAATTACAGTAGTCCTCAACTTACAATCATTCATTTAGTGACCAGAGTTAGAATTGAGACTGAAAAAAAGTGCCTTATTTTTTTCACACTTACAGCTGTTGTAGCACCCCTTTGGTCACATGATCAAAATTCAGATTCTTGGTAACTGGCACGTATTATGACAGTTGCAGTGTCGCAGGATCATGTGATCACTTCTTGCGATTTTCTGACACGCAAAGTCAATGGGGAAGCCAGATTCACCTAATAACTGTGCTATTAACTTAACAACTGCAGAGTTTCACTTAACAGCTGTGGCAAGGAAGGTGGTAGAATGGGGCAAAACTCACCTAACAACTGTCTTGCTTAGTAATGGAAATTTTGGGCTCAGTGGTGGTCATATGTTGAGGGCTACCTTATCAAAATTGAAATAAGGAATTTAAATGGGAACAAGATTGCTTTATTTCAAAACAGTTTCTTCAGTAGAAACCCACTTCTTCCTTTGATTTTTCATTGTATATTCTTGGCTTAAGGAACATCATCCAAGCCCACATATATTGTAAATACTTTTCTAACTTTAGACAGAGCATTTGAGAAAGAGTTCTAAACTGTTGAGCAAGCTCAGCTTCCCAAGGGAGCGATGCTTACAAATGGAAGCTTTTCATCCAGAAGCTCCCACTCTCTTCTGCAGTGGAGCCTCTAAAAGCCTCCAGCACATAGGTCAAAATCCTAATGTGGTATTTTGGCCCTTGCATTCCGGCTACGTCTGGCTACATCCAGATAAACCGTGGTTTAAATCCTTATCCAGCCATGAAGCTTATTTGGGGAAGTCAGTTTAATCTATCTTGAGGGGAGGGAATCTGTGAGGGAAGCTGAGTGAGACAGCTGGAGAATGCCTTACTATTGGTCAAATCTTCTGTTAAAACTTTTCACAATCTGAAATAAAGAATGACTTAATCATATACGTGTAGGTGTGGGTGTGGGTACACACACACATACACACATTCATATTTTAAGTGTTCAGCATCCTTTCCTCCCATATCTTCTGCAGATGTGGGGCCCAGAATCAAAAATTTATCACAGATAACATATTAATAGAATACAATATTCAATTGCTCATCATCCATTGCCTACAGGCTGGACTCCTAAATCAACTGACAGGATTTCCCGATGGACAACTCCAAGGTCTGCCAATAAGGCCTTGCTTCAGAATTGTGCAGAGATCTGTGTTTTAAAACAAGGCACATCAAGTACGTCCAAAGCCGTCCCTCCTTTTCCAGATCCTAACGCATTTTCAGATCTCCCCGGAACTGACCACCTTGGCTCCACATCTGAACAAAGGTATGCAACTAAATTGGCCCTTTGCTTTGGCTGGTGCAGGAATAACAACCCTTTTGGGGAGATCCAGAGGAATCTCACGGCACAATAATAGCTTTTGGGTTGCATGAAAGATCATTGGGTTTTTCATGGCAAAATATTTCTTAAGAGCAGAGCAATTCTTGTGTAAGGTATTTTGCCTTTAGGTGAGCTCCATTTCAATTTCACACCACAAGCATGCTGGGGCTTTTGAGTAAATGACTGTTTCTTCTTTCAAGCCAGAAACTTCTTTCTGCATCATAGCACTCCAAACTAAATTTTAATTCCTCCATCGTGTATTAGAAAATATAGCATAGATTTAAATTGACCTGAAACAGTGACTATAATTTTTCTGCTGATGATATCTTAAGTTTTTTAATTCTCCTGTTTTGGATTTTTAATCCTTCCAGCAATTATGTTAAACCTAATTTTTATTAATCATGTGGCTGATATTTCCAATTTTTCCTATGTTGAATAAAATAGCATCAGGTTGTGGGAGTGCATTTATTCTTACCAATATGCTGGGAGAAATTGCTATTAATGGTATCTTTTTTAAAATTCACACTTTAAACTTCAGTTTTGTCATTGTTTTCCAATACCTTGAAGTTTGAAGAGAGGAAGCTTGATATGTCTTTGTAAATCAATTCAAACTCCACTCAAATGGATATGGGGTTATATACAATCCTCTGAATGCCAGGAGCTGAGAAAAATGAATGAGAATCTACTGCTATTATAATCCTACTTGTAGGCTACCCTTTGATCTCTGGTGGACACAATGGGAATAGAATGCTTGACTAGAGAACATAATTATTTTTATGCTGGAATGTTTCTATGGATCATATTGGTGTATGCAATTTGTGCATTTATAATTTTAAAAGTTTTTAGAAACTGGGGAGTGATATAGTTTCAAATCTGCACCTCTGTACCTCTTGGTTTATTTTCTCCAGTGGCACTCAAGCAACAGAGGAACCGTGTGCTAGAACAGATATGGCAGAAATATCAGCTGTAAGTAGTATTATCTTCTTTTAGCATGTCCTTCTTTCATATCAGGATATCACAAAATTGTTTTCTGCTGGTTCAGAAATTGGGACTGCAGAATTTGCTGACAGTGGAAACATGTCAGTCCCGTTAGGGAGATGAGACCAGAAAATCAACTCCACATGAAGACCAAAAATATTTGTATTGAGATTGTTTATAAGAATCTTACAAGTCATCCTGCTTTTTATATTCCAGTGGATCAGGGAGGCATCCACCTGAACCATTTCTAAATATTAACTTGTTTCTCAAGACATAATAAATTGTGTACAGAAATAAGTCTAGAAAATAGTGGCTGTCTTGTTTTTTTCATATAAAGGGGGTACTATGAAATGAAAGTGAAACTATGAGTTACCTTCTTTTTTAATCTTGAACTTAATGAAAATGAAAAGGGTCAGTTTATGCCCTTGCATAAGAGCCAGTCAGTGGTTTAAAAAGATCTTGTCTGTCATTTTTCTGTGTTCTAAAGCACAGACTCTCAGGGTGTAGCCCATTACCAGGCCTTGAGCAGTTTGGAACTGGGCTGTGGAGGTAGCGGGCAAGCACACACACATCCAAACTTGTGCAAGCAGCGGGCGCACATACCCACTGCTTGTGCAAATGGAGCTGAGCGCATGTGCACTTGCCCACTGCTCACATGGAACCATCTTCCCTCCCCCTCCCACCAGTCCGCAAAGCCAGAAAGATTGGGGCAACTCTGTTCTAAAGAATGAGCCATCTTCAAGCTCCTTTAAGATCTTTGCTTTATCTTTGCTTCTAAATCCAGAATGGAGAAGCAGCCAGCTGTGACATGAGCTCATCCTCAAGTGACATGGATGTTTACCCATTTAAAAAAGAAGATTCAGAAATTGGAGAGGAGATGAAGCAGACTTCAACAGATGAGGTCAAACAGAGTTTTCTCAGTCCCACAGAGAATTCTCAGGCTGCAAAAACATGTGATCAAGATGAAGTACGGCTTACTCCAGAACGTAAGTAAAATTTGTGTGGATTTTCTTGAGATGAGTGATACAAAGTCATTTCGAAATGAGATGGGCAGCAAATAAATTAAGAAAGAAAGAAATTCTTTGGCGATCTTGTAATCTGAGATTATATAAGCATTATTTGGGAATCAAATTTTCAGGGCTGTCTGTGTGTTTTGTCAGATGTCTAAGTTATTTGATCATTTTGCTTCATGTTGCTGATAAAAGTGCTGACTACAGTTTGGGCATGCGTTTATATGTCCTCACTATAATCAGTATAGAAACCTTTTAAATTATAAATAATAATGTGTTAGAGATATATAAGGTAAAAGCAGTACTAAATACAGTCCTCTCAGAATGTCTGCATAAGTATCACTTATTTCAGTTGGAAACTTGCAGATAATATAATTAATATACTATGTATAACTTAATATGCATTTTAAAGTGCTTCTCTGAAAATGAGATTCTGTTTTCCAGGCTTGTCCTGTGCTGATGGAATACTTGATGTCCAGGTAAGTCTGCTTGAAGTCAGTTGAAGCACCACTAGATGTTGCTTAAAATGTACAGAATTACATTTTGGAGATCATGCATCATTAAATAAATGTGTTGTTATTTAATGATATATTATCTCCATGGTAATTTTGTGATGGAAACCTCTATCGGGATAAGGGCTCATAGATCTAGCACATATGAGGAGGTATCCATGCACGTAGAAACTTTGCATTGTCAGAATTCCAGCTCATATAGAATCCTCTTTGTATGACACAATTTCAGCATGCACAGATTCATATGATACGTACAACTTTTGGGAGGTAGGCTGTGTCGCATGCATGACACCAAAGGCAAAATGTTGAGGTAGCCCTTATTCTGGCTACCTATTGACTTTTCACAGTAAAAAATGCCTGAGATTAGTTTAGGTTAAATATATCTGTTTTTATTGTAACAATTATAATGCATAACCAGAATTTACCAGCTCCAAAACTAACTGTTTACTAAAGAAGATTTATGGTGCACCATAAAAAGAGCACCTAAAGCTTTTTAATAGGAAATGGTCTAGCTAGTCTTATCTAGCTTTATCCTTTCTTACAGTAGTATCAATTTATTGCCTGTATGACTGTTTCATGACTGTTTCATCACCAAAAAGTGTTGGGGCCTAGCCCCAGAAAAGCTTACATTCTGAATCTGAACATTGCAGGGAAAAGGGAGCACAAAAAACTAGTTGGAACCAAATTGAGCAACAATTTTTATACAGTTTTCTCATTTGGTATCCTTCATCTATTTTGGATTATGGCTCTCAGTATCTTCAAATAACATGACTATGAGCACACATGACTTCACTTGGGACAAAACTGTATTAAAATCATGATACAGATTCCACTATGGAGTATTGGTTAGGAAGTAGTATATGAATCAAAGAATCCTCATTGCTATGTCAACTTAAAGTTGGAGATGAGTGCATAGATTTACAATATAATTGCAGCCATTATAGTGAGTCCTTAGGTATGCAGATCATCTGCCAAGTGAAAATGGTTTAAACTTTTGATCTGCTAAAGCTGATTGTTTAAATATCTGATAGAAGCAAATTTTATACTGTACCTTTATTCTGAAAGAAAAATACGCAACTACAGTATCCAATGGAACTCAGATTGGAGGGTTTTTTTTACATCTGTCAACCTGCTTACTAAACAACTTGTTAGGCTAGTTTTGGGAACTTTTAATAATATTTCATAAATTAACACTATAAGGAAACATTTATACACTTACTAAAATAGGAATAGAGCGGTGCTCTTAAATTGCCTCAAAATTGGCAGCAAATATTTCTATCTGAAAGCCACAAGAAAACAGTTTGATGGGATTTGGGAAGACTTAAATTCTAACTATATATTAAATGTATTTTTTCTGCCCCACAGCCAAACCTGGATGTCAGCCTTTTCTTCACTCCTTTGAGAAACAAGGCTGAAAAACATGTTTCAACTGATTCATGCAGCAACCTTATTATATTCTCACCTTTTCCAGATAATGAGAAATAAGTTATTTTTAAAATACTGATCTGTGCATGTAATTATTAGATGCAAAAATGGCAGTTTTCTTTTCCTTCATAAGTTTAGTTCTGTTACTAAATTGAACTGCCATTTCACAAATATACTACTTCTGGAGAAGACACCCAGGGAGAATATGAGTGCTAGACTGTTCTGTGGTCTGTATCTCTTGAATCTTTAATGCAACTGCACTTGAGGAAAATGAATTGGCTTAACTTGGCTTGACCAGTTAAAATATTTTGGAACTCAGACATGAATAGTAAGTTGTTTGTCATTAAGTGTGGCAATGAGTGGGAGAGAGAGGAGAAAAAAAGTATCTTACAGTATTTGGTTGCTGCATTTTAAATGTTGTCTATTTTCTTTACTCTTAATAATCAAATTTACACTTTAGTGTATAAACCCAATTATTAAAGTTCTGTAAACTAGAGTAATCTATTATGTGGTGATTTGTATCTGCCTCCTAGTTGGATTTTACAGTATTCTTTCTTCAGCCATTTCCATTTAGATGTATTTATTTTTAAATCAGAATAATTAAGTAAAATATTAATTTAAATACTTGTTTTAAATCAAGCTTTCCACTAATGCTATTTTTAAAACATTTATGTAGATCTGATCACTGAATTATAATTGAGTAGTAGGCCAATTCACACATTATATTAAGTTATGATTACAGGTAGTCCTTGATTTACAATCGCAACAGAGATTGGAATTTCCATTGCTAAGTGATAGAAGCCACTACAGTCCGAATTGCTATTAGTAACTGAATCCCACAGTCTTTAGGTAAGGCAACTTCCTACTGGCTTCCCACAACCAAAGTTGATAGGGAAGCTGACAGGGAAGTTCCAAGTCCCAGGTAGATAAGTGGCTGCTGCCAGCTAGAGGAAGGAGCAAGGGGATGTAAGGGAGAATCCATGAGAGTTGTTTTGTACGTGTGTGTGTGTGTGTGTGTGCGTGTGTGTGTGTCAGGGAGGATGCATGAGAGATGTCATGACAGTTCAAGGTCTGTAACTAGCTTATGTAGAGCAAGTGTGGAGGAGCTGGGAAGGGAGTGCTGGGGGGGGGGTTTCCGACAGATGAAACTCTCCAAAAGAACTTCGAGGCATTGTTTACCTTAAAGAATCTTTATTTTGAGTAGCATAACTTCGACACTACATAACTGAAGCCAAAAACTGAATTCCCCTCCCCTGAGCACATAGTATCAAAGCACAATTCCCTCCTTCAGTTAACAGCCATAAATCTCATTCCCCAATTAGTTTGAAGGGCGGGCCTCCTCTCCAGTTCTCCAGCCCGCCAATTCCTTATCAGCTCTGGTTACAGTAACCTTGTTTCTCACACTAGGTCTAGTGTTGTTATGCCCCCTCCCAGCATCATCTAACTCTAAAAGCAAAGGGTAAAAGATGGCTACATTGCCCTTTGTTGTCAATGCAAAAAATCCAATGTTAGCAGCATTGACATTAAGCCTCTAAGAGTTACAGGGCATGTCTGCTAATACCGTATATTGATGTCACTGAATGAAATGGATGAAAAATGTTTGTTTTTATGAGCTTAATCAAAATCCTTATCTAAGTCCCATGTTTTGTGTAAAATGACATGAAAATCATTTTCCTGTCAAATTGTAGGTCAATGACAATGTTGTGAGGATCCCAAAATAGGGTTTTAATGGGAAGAGAGGCATACCTGGTTTGTATCAACTACAAACCTTGATCAACCAACCACTAAGTGGCTAATCTCACATAACATACCAAGCCTGAAGCAATCCATAATTTAGTGCAATTGTGAATCAAGCCAATGTATCCTTCCAATATGAATAGCAGCAAAGATTGAACGCCTTTGACAACTTTCTTGGAAACTGGTGAATGTAATTGATACTCTTAGTATCAGAACAGGTGTACGCTATATTTTAGTTTAAGTCATGTTTCTCAATATCAGGAATTTTAAGACATGTGGACTTCAAGTCCCAGAATTCCCCAGCCAGCAAGCTTCTATGTCTTATGTCTTAAAGTTGCCAACTTTGACAAACACTGTTCTAAGTTATTCTTCATTACCAGTTATTGAAGTCCTTCCATATGGCTAAAAGAGTAAAAAGCCACAACAAAAACATGCATATCTGTAATTGTATTATAGGGAGAATGTCACTGAAGCAAGCCAAATCTTGGTTTGGAAAAATTAATGAAAGCTAAGATTTTGAAATGCTAAATTACACACTGCAGGAAAAAGTCAGGATTTACAACTACGTATACATACAGACAGTCTTCGACTCATGACTGGGTCACTTAACAATCATTCAAAGTGCAACAGGCCCCCCAAAGATATTTATAACCCAATTTTGAAATTACAATGGCCACATACACATACCCTACAGCACAGGTGTCAAACTCGCGGTGTCACGTGATGTATCATGATGTATTGCAACTTTTTTCCCATTGCCGGCAATGGGATGGGTGCAGTTTTGGTGTGACGCATCCGGCCCGTGGGCCGGCAGTTTTGACACCCCTGCCCTACAGTTCTGTAATTGCATTTCAGGCACTTGGGCAACTGTTTGCAGTGTCCCATAGTAATGTCATTTTTTATTTACTTGTTTTGCCATTTCCCAACATTTACTCCTGGTTTCCAGCAAAAAACACCCATTGGGTAAAATTGATTAGCTTAACAACCACTGCAAAGAAGAGTGAAAAATCAGTTCCAGTCACAAGGTGCCTAAATTTATGATTGCAATGACTTACAACCACAATTCTGAGCAAAACTAACTGTACACAAGACTTATAGACTTTTAAGAGTTTTATTTATTAATCACTGCCCAATATCATCTATCTAACATATCTTTTTTTTCTTGAAAAGAACAACCAGTTTTTACAGGGATATTGGGCACAAGGCTGCAATGGGCCAAAGGCTTAGCTTAGATCATGACAGGCATGACACTAGTGAGGGTGACATCACCAGAAATGGACAGCTTGGTGATCTGATTCAGCTCTTTAATGCGGTGACTGTACTGCATGAGATGAGCATCATCAACAGCAACCTTCAGGTGATCTGCTTCACAGAGAATCTGAATCTGTAAAAGGACAGATGTAAAAATTCCTGAACAGTTATAAATAAGAATTACAGAAACACCATGTATTCATGCAACCTGATTCTTGCTTTTTTGCACTGGGCTACGGCCTTGTAAACCTAGCATCTTGTGCTTGTTGTGCTTACATAAAAAAACACCACAAATATTGTATGAAACCAGGAAATGTATGTGTGGGGGGAGGGTTGGCTCCTTCCAGCCTCAAGAGTCTCAAAGGAGAGCAGTGCTAAATTCAGCATCATGGGTTTTTGGGTGCTTGATTTTTTTCAAATAAATATACACATCTTTGGATAGCATACATTTTATTAAGTGCACTCTTGGCCATAAAAAGTTTTCTGCTTGACCAGAGACTAAAACTTATAGAATAGACATTCAATTGAACTGACACAATGCTCTCTTGCATTCTACTCTCATTTTAAGTCTAGTCTTTACCACTTTCTGGTAATCTTCAAGGAATCATGCTTGCCTCTATGGCTGGAAGGATGCCCTGACACCCTCATTTTTCTGCCTAGGAAGCAGAGTGTTGGAAATGTCAGCACTCTGCTTCCTACACAGAAAAATGAGAGTGTCAGGGCATCCCTCTGAGGGCAGGGAGGGGATTCCTACTCATCAGTCCCATGTCATTTGATTTGCAACCTTAATATCAACCAGTTCTACATCCTGCTTTAGGTGCTATGCAGAAACAAGGCAGCCAATTACATGCATTCACAGGGCTCACTTAAAATGGTTAGTGATTGAGCCATTTTCTGTGCAATAAATTGAACCATATACTAATCAAATAATGTAGACTTGTACAATATCCTACTAGAAAGATACACCAAAATTAACATTAATTAACTAATTAATTAACCTTGTGAACTCTCAAGCTTCCTCCCGTTATATATTCAAGATGGACAGTATTGGATATTTATTTGCTACGTATATGTAGGGGTGTGGGTCTATACATATGTTGTTCATAGTATGTTTAGGTGTGTGTCAGGTATGTCTTTCACTTTGAGAACGGGCAACTAAATTTCATTTTTTATGTGTGCCGTTGTGCCCACAGTAAAAAAAATGACAATAAAGGTTATCTTATCTTATCTTATCTTAAAGCTTAGCATATTGTTCAAGTGCAATCACTAGGTATTTTTCCGGCTTGTGTTGAATGAATATAATACAAGCAACCCATCTTACTGAACCTGAAGCCCCTCCAGGGGTACTATAACTCCCAACCCCTAAAATTCCCACTCAATTTGAATATTGTTGGGGATTATGATAGGAGTGGTCTCAAATGTGAACACCAGAAACAGAATCATAGAGATAGAATCAGGCAAATTAAACTGTCCTTGCAATATTCACATGACTAATTTCTTAACTAAGAAGAAATAACTTAATTGCCATCAAAAGGACATCCAACACAAAAACTTTACCTTAAAAGGTTTGCCAGCCTCAAAAGGAAACCTGGGAGCTGTCCGGTCTTCCTTCCCCCAGTCATCTTGAATCCTGGTGTTGCATACAATCACCTTCATGTTGTCCTCATTGAAGCGGGGATTAAAGTGGAAAGCAATGTCATTGCCTTTCTTCAAATCTACTTGAAATCTGCAAGAAATGAGAAAAATTGTTATCCCAGTGTTCTACAGGAAACTTGAAAAACAAAGCTTTATTTATTACTTCATCAAATTAATTATTAACTTGAAAACTTGGATCCGCAGTGTGGTGCCCTGGTTGCCAATGTGCCTCTGGGCATCATCAGGCTATTTTATTTTACTATTGAAACTTTAAATGAGAACTTATGGGCTGTAAAATAGCACTCTTCTCATATGTAAATTTTATTTCTAATCATACTTTTAGGTCCATATTGGTCCCATAGGCTTACTTAGAAAGTTAAAATTACAGAGAATAAACCCAGAAGAGGAGAGAGTGGGGTAGGAGGGTGTTGTAGAAAGAATTGTCAAATGTAACATCTACTATTTCTCTTCTGCGTGTTTGAAGCAAGTCAGTTTGTGTTATGATTCCTCGCCAGCCAGTGGATCCGGCAGCTGAGTCTGAGGAATCAGATGAGGAGGAGGGGCCTGGAGTGACAGTAGAGTCAGAGGAAGGCTCTGAGGAGCTCCAAGACTTACAGTTGGACAAAGAGCCTGGCCCCTCTATTCACACTCAGGCTGAGTAGAGTGCTGGGACCCTGAGTTGGACAGTGATGAAGAACAGTTGGGACAAATCCCGGATGCACAAATGTGCAGGAAAGAAGCGAGTAGGACAGAGGAATGCAATGGGTTGGCTCCAAAGGCAAAGGAGAAGGCATTAGGAAGCCACGCCAAGGCTAAATTATAAAAAGGAAGGTGTGGGAGGTGCTGGTTGCCAAAGGCAACTGTTGTGTTGAG